GGACAATTTTTTGCTCACCAAAATCAGGCTAAAGAATTCGCAAATCAGAAAAAAAAAAACAGCGAATTCTTTTGAAGGATAGTATTTTCAAAGCTGCATATTTTCTAAAATAATGGATCGATTTATTTAATTTATTTTTTTAATGGATACTACCCTGTAATGCTTTGCGGTACGTTTTCGATGGGCTACCCTGTATATGGTACATGTCAACAACATAGTAATATTCGTTTCGTATTCTATGGTGAAACATGAGTATTCACAATCCATTAATGATAAATTCTTTTATAACTCATACGCAATGAAATTTTTATATATAGACAGCACGAATATCTCTTCATTAATGGACAAAAAATGTCTTTACTCCATTAAAATCATCAAATTTTAATCATCAAGTGAAAGCAGTTCTATGATAGCTCTAATAGAACTTTTACAATCCTGCTACCATGAAGGATAGTGGAAAAATGACAACTGCTTAAAAGAAGATGTCTTCTTAAGAAAAAATTATAAAAGAAAGTTGTTTGTCTAGATCACTATGGGGTTGTTATAAAATACCGTTTACAGTATAGTATTTTTTTTATTAATTATCAAAAAATTTACAAATACGCGTGACAAACGGTCACGTTATTTAATGGAATAACATAAAAAACTTGTCAAAATAAAGTAATACATTAAAAACAAAAGTAAAAAACCCGCGTTTGTTTTGTAAAATAATTCATTAAATTTTCTTCTTGTTGGTTGAATATTTTCAGCGAGGAGGCGAGTAACAATAGAATAAATATTATATACTTTATATCTCCATGAAGCAAAACAAATAAACTATAACGTTTGATTTTTAACTCATTTTTATAAATAATATTTTGATAACGCAAACAGGGAGCTTTTCAAAACGTGAAATAATAAAAAAACAAATTAAATAAAACCTTATATCTCCATGAAACAAAACAAATAAACTATAACATTTGATTTTTAACTCATTTTTATAAATAATATTTTGATAACGCAAACAGGGAGCTTTTCAAAACGTGAAATAATAAAAAACAAATTAAATAAAACACGGTTAGGATTGTATTTATTGTTTTTCACTTTTTCTAAGTCTTGCAAAGTAAATCTATCGGCATATGTCATATAAAAGGATGTGTGAACTTTTCCAGACAATGGTCCGATGTCCTTCTTTCTTGGAGTAGAATGTATACCATCATCATTGAGTATAACTTTTATAAAGTCCAATACTGTCCACCTGTGTGTATCAAAATATTACTTGCTTTAGTTTTTTGCTTCCCAGGGAATTTCATAATACTGTCAGATTGCCCTTCCATTTCCACATACCTTGATTTGTCACATTTTGATATGCAACTTTATTACTGCATAGAAAAATCTTAAATTTAAATTAAAATTTATTTTCATCGAACTTGAGTTCAGTCTTGAAATATCCTATTAGTGCGGAGCATTTTCTTTTCAGTTTCCTGTGAAAGCTTAAACGCTAACCATTCGATGAATGCCCTAGGACCCGTATGTAGATTGTTCTCTTAAGATTGCCCAAGATCAAAGCATTGCGTTGCCATAATATTTAGTGTAATGACTCCTGCGACATGCCAGATACTGGTATTTTCGCACTCTAGACTCTAGATCGTCCCCTTAAACGATCTATTATAGTTACTACATGTAATTCTAGTTTACGTATTTGAAACATTAATATTCAATGAAAGGAGAACTCCGTATGGAATTTCGATCTATGAATAATGAGCTATGTATACGAATGTTATCAAAAATTGATTATAAATGCACTAAATGCTATTGATTAATGTACCGATGGAATTGGGGTGTTTGCATAAAACAAATGTTTCTTACTACAACAATATTTATAGAATTTAATTATTTTCAGTTGTTTTCATGAAAAACGCATTTCCTAAGATATGTGGACCACTTTGCACCTACATTTTTTCCCATTTTCTGTATTAGTAGTGCGTAGATTCATCTTTTAGTTTAATTTTTTCTAAACATTTAAATTTAATATTGTTAAAATTTGTATTGTTTGGTTTTTATTTTTTTAGTTTGTGATCAATAAACTTCCCTTCAAAACATTCACATTATATTCTGAATATTTAAATTGAATTAGAAATGGAAATCAGTTCGAACTGACAATTAGTAAGAATTCTCTCCTCGTTTAAAGAACGTTTTATAATCCCCTAAATTTTATACAGCAGGTATTTATTTCACTTCACATCATTAGAAGAATTATTTTCCAGGCTAGCTAATTAGTTTGTTCAGGTATAAAATACAATTTAAATAAATATATTAAATTAATATTTCCAAATAATATAATTCTAGAACTTCGTTGGAACAATATTTATACGATAAAAATAAAATTGTAATTATGTAGTGATGATGTTGGCGAATAATTAAAACAGAGATTGCGAGGTTTCATTTAACTCTTTTATTTTTATTTTTTAGTGCATATGGAACTCTCTTCATGGAATTAATTCAGCGTGTCTGTAATTATGTAGGTAGTTTTAGATATTTCAAAGCTAATTCAAGGATAGATATAGACATGCACCTGTAAGTGTGTAATCCGCTCCATTGTTAGAAATAATTATATAAGAAATTTGGCTCTGCCCACTCTTACAAATAAATTATAGCTAGTTGTATTTTTTATATAAATTATTTTATACAACAGTCCAGCAATTGTATACATTTCTAATATAAGTACTCACTTGGTACACTTGTATCTTGAAAATACTAAAAAATGTCTTTTTGAAAATGTTACCTAACACGAATGGTTGCAGTAGTAGACAACTTTCTTTACTGTTAGAAACCATTTTCTGAAATACTCCATTTTAGTTTTTTTGTATAGAATCCAGTAATGCTACTGGATTATGATGGTTGAAGGATTAAGTATGCACTTAATCCTTCAGCAGCGGTTTTGGTTTACAAATCAATGTTACATTATTTTAAATAGAAACTATAATTGCCAAAAAGAGGATGTTCTGAGTTTTTAAAAATATATAGTTCGCCATGAAGTTCTGAAGGACCCATCTGCTAATGTTCAATAGTAATATTGATGATTAATAATCTTATCAGGCAGAGAACGTTTCAAGCCCTAGCGAATCAATTCTCAAAAATATTGTTATATGCAAATAATCCACAATTTTGTACAATTATGTAATGTTTTGAAGTGTTTACGTGAAGAAAATACTGGGAATTATCCTTTTCGAAATATTTTCACTGATAAACGTACCTACGCGTTTAATAGAAACCACTACAAAAGCCACACAGATACATGTCGCTTCCAGCTGCAACAAAATAAAACGTTGGTATTGTTTTCCGAAGTCAATTGAAGAACCAATAATTTCAAAATATGTACTGAAATGTATTGAAATATTTGAAAAACTTGTTCCCATATTTAATTAGCCATACCCATAAACAGGTCTGGTCGAACTAAACCTGGAGATGATAGAAATGTATACGCTCAGTTGAAGAATGCGAGCGCGGCCAAAGGAAAACGAGCACAGTTATATTGGGCTTCTGGGCAATAAATCACAGCAGGTGACAAGTGGTTCATAAATTGTTCAGCAGTGCAGTGCAGCAGTGCGGAATTTGGTGTGAATCAGGCAATTTTAATTTATTATAGGCACCTTCTATCAATGATTCATATTACAATTACGAAAGGAAGAAATAAGAGGGATATTTTGTTTACTAATATTATCACAACATGGCACTTTGAAGACTTTTTGAAACAAAACGAAATTTACCACCAATATACCTAATAAAATTGTTTGAGGACGTAAATAATTAAAATATGTTGTTGGCCAAATGAACATATAATAGAAATTTTCTACACATTATATACAAATTATTATAATTTTTTACTTTTAGCAGAAAATTTTTTTAGGGACGCCTATGAAACTCATTAAATTTTATTACCAGACGTTTTTTGCATATTCAACTGACTTCGGAAGGACTATAAGTGCCGTTTAAGATATTTAACATATAAAATTATTTTTAAATTTAGTTAGTGACGTCCTTGCCCTCGCACAATTTGCACTCAAATAATAATATCACGAAAACTAAATAAGATATCACTAAATATCTCCATTTCCGCGTAGGTAATTCAAAGAATTCGGTTATTTTCTGAACAGACCTCGTACATGCTACATGCTTGAGACGTGTTTGAAACGTTCAGTGCATAATAATATGAATCAAGTCTAACCGGTGAAATTATTTGCAACTTTCCCGCCACCTACGCCGCAATATATATCAGATTAATGCAAAGCGTTGGAGGATATTAGAATCCTCCAACGCTACATTAAGTAAATTATGTGATATTCCGAGGTACTATATATAGACAAATTCACTTAAGGAAAAGATATATTAAGTAAATTTGTCCGTTGAGTAATAAAGGCATCCATTCAACTCTTAAAATCGATAAATTATATGGCCCAGTATTTCATGTATTAAGTTATGCATGAAGCTAATTTAAATGAACTTTTCCTAAAATTCCCATTAAGTACCATGTCTTTTTTCCTATATTAACATCAGAGGTAAAAGTAACACAATAATTTTATGACTAGAAATATGCTAAAACATACTAATTTACAAAAGGAATTTATCATTTTACTTTTATTGTTCTATGTTTTGTAAAATACAAATTTCGTATTCAATGTTAGGAATATGTTTAAAATATTATGCATCAACAGTGTTGTGCATAGATTAATATCTATGTAATTCCGCTGGTACATGTTATGATCTGTTTGAATGAAGTTTCAAACTCATTTGAGTACCAAGACAAGTAGTTTACATAACTCATAAATTCATTAAAACTTCAGGGGACAGTTGAAGAGCCTCAACACTTAGTTTCCGATATGAATAATTGTGGGAATGGGCATTGGACAGGATTTGTAGTCTGCTTGTATTATTAACATAAGACGAAAAAGTGGATTATTCTATTGAATCCTGTTACATATTAGAGTATTTTTAACAATTCTATTTCATAGGAACGAAACATGAACGAAACTTTCGAATGTCTCAAATTCACTGATGTAGAAAGCCAAATAAAAATCGCCAGTAAGAGCAGAATTGGAACACATTTCAACTACAAAAAAGGGGGATTGTGTGTGAAAAATAAAATTTAATGATAATGCACATAAAAAAACTGCAACAAAAATTTATTTTAATCTTAGCTCGATAATAACTTCACAGAAAAAATGTAGAATACCGAAAATTTCTGACACTAACAAAATATATACCCTATAATTGACATTCAAACATTTACGGTAAATTTGATAATTACCTGTTTGGTTTTAGTTATTGTTATTTACAATGTTTGTTTTTTATTTTACCAAAAATTTATTTCCTTTATTTATTTAATATATAGAAGCTTACAATGAAATCGCAATAAAATGCACATACACCTACGTACGGTACTAAATAAAATTTTAATTGAAATTATCTGTAACATTATGAGGATTTGGACAATGCACAATGGTGGCGAGGTTGCAATCTCATAATTCGTTACTAAAAATGTATTATCGCTTGCCTTTTTTGAGAGAATTTATAAAGTAAACATGATAGTTATATTTATGACACAAGATTAGAATATTTTTGAGGAAAATATGTACTAGTTTCCTATGTAATTAAATTTATAATGTAAATAATAAATGAACAATCATAAATATTTTAATAAAGTATAATGTGGATTTATTGGAATTTATGCAAAATAATCCAACTTTAACTTAAGGTCACAATTGTTTTTAGCTTCTTATAATATTTTACGACAGCAATGCTATCAAATCTGCGAAAATACATAAGCTGAAAAGTAATGTCTACAATTCAGATATAATAATAATCCTTCTGTAACATAAATACGTTACTTTAGTCATTTTAACGCACATTTGATTATGCAATTTATTATAGGAATATTTCCTTGTTGTATAAGCTAATTAGCACAAAATTGATTTACGAAACAATGCCATTTTTCTTTAAATATTTCCTTGACGCTGAACAAAAGTTGTATGGCGTGTTTTGTATTCATATTATATTTCTAGATGACAGCCTAATGCTGCAAGTTTTGTATAACTAAGACATAACCCGTCATGCAATATTTTTCATTATGACATAGTGTGAAGCCGTGAATAATTTAGTAACAGTTGCTATTCAAATAAAATAATATCAGTTTACAGTTTAAACAAAAAGTAAAGGGTAAGAGTACTTGTCATTTGTAAGTATAATAAAAAATCCGCTCCAGAAGGAGATTCTCTACAAATACAAAGAAAATTTTTACAAATTACCTAAACGGCTTTTAAGGATACTGCCTAAGTTATTATTATTACCCTTTTTTAATGGAAAATGTAGTTCATTTTCTTCTATACTTCGCGGTCGAAGTTATGAAGACTCAGACATAATATAAAAACACTATTACTATAAAACGTATAAAATATAAAATGATTTTTATAACGGTTCAATATTATTTGCCTTGTATTAAGTGATGTGCCGCTCTCTATGCACATTGATAGGATCTATAAGCGCCTTTACACTGAACGACGATTTATTTTCTATCTCTGTCTATTACACTTATAATACTTATAGGAAAATACTTTTTTAGTGGGTGTAATGGACGTACGTAGTACTTGATTAAACGCCATAGAATAAGCGTACGCGCGGGGTGCTGATTCTGTGGCTATAATAAATTTATAAATTAAAAAAATACAACCGGGAAATCTTAAAACGTAGTAATAATTAAAATAGATCAAAGTGCCGGTTATAGCAAACGGTCTGTTGGTCATAAACGCCCTAATTTTATAGAAAACACTTAAAAATTTAAAAATAAAATTTTGCGAAAATATTGCTATTTTCTTGATAAAAACTCTAAAAATAATAGATTTTGTTTTATCTTTTTTCCATATTTTCTATATCTTGTTGCCTTCTAAACTGATACAACTATGGATTTTCGATCCCCTCACGCTTCATCCTTCTTACTAGTCCAAGAGCTAGCAATTAGTCAGTCTCCATAATTTCGACAGCGAAGTATGTGTACCAATTTTCTCTACTACAAATGTAAAACAACCTCTAACTGATCCTTTAGGCATAAGATACATATTTAAGTTTTAATTATTTACATTTTTTCTTTGCAGTGCCCAATTAAATGGAAATGCTAACATAAGTCAAATAATGTTATAATGGCTAGGAAAAACACTACATAATCTTTACTTATTTATATAAGAATTTTTTCAAAATGGCGATTTAATTTTATTTGACCATATAATATTTTGTTTTCCAGATTACATACATATTCTGAGCCTGTATTTTAGTTTATATTGTATCCAAGTATTATTGGAGGTACAATATTATTATTATGAATAAAATAACATTTAAACTTTTTGCTCATAGTTTCTGGATATCCTGTAGAATGTGTAACATATTTTATATTGATAACAATGATAACTTTAAGAGCAGGTGGAATAAGTGAAAATAATTTAGTTATATAAAAATATGTCAAAAATTCAACCGGTTCCGATATACCTATAGCGTGCCCAAAAGAAAATACAGATGGGGCATTCTTTCCCAATACTGCCCATTTCCTATTTTAACAGGTCATATGAGTGCAATCAAACTCATAGGTGCTCATTGGTAGTGTAAGCTACTTTGAAAAATAGTTGATATCAGTTTTATGAAGATTAATTTAAAAAAATTTCCTCAATGAGACACGTGCACGTGATCTCATGGTCCATTTTTAACTCCTACAGGTACTTTTACAGGAATTGGGGGTGAAAATTTGTGTGATAGTGCAATAACATTTCGTCGAACACCAATTTAAATAGATTTATTGAACTATTTTTTTTACATTATGAGACACTTGCATATGATCTCATGGTCCGTGTTAAACCCCTACACGCAATTTCAGCCCAATACAGCAAGCCAGTGACGTATAAATTGTCGGTATCAGGAAATAATTTTAAAAAATATATTCTTAGACTACGGCCTAAAATATAGAATATTTGTTGTTCCAGGGATCATCACGTCTGGCGGATGCATGGTGGGTGAACGGCTAAGCAGCAGCGGCACCCGCTTGAACGTCACATCCCCGGTGCAGTGCGCCGCTCCCACCGCTGCGCCCCACAAAGCCAGCACTGAGAGTGTCCACAGGGTGCTCAAGAGCGTCTCTAGGCAGAGCCTTCTAGGTCAGTTAATTAATTAGATACTTCTAATTAAATAGATAGTAGGATATTAATAATATCTACTAGCCTTAATGTTTACCAAGTAATATGTTACTTAATCTTCTGGATGTATTTTATTGTTTTCTATGCTTTAGATATATTTGCTTAGTCGCAGTACTTCGAAAAAAAAACAAGTCTGGTCGTAACATCAACCGCTTTTAAAATGCGTCGAGTGGTGGTACGAAAAAACTTTACTACAATAAATGACAAACGCGAATATAATTAATTAATTAATATAACTTGATTAATTAATAAAACATATTAATTTAACTTTGCCGGAAAATTTTTTGTATGCGTTCATAAAAATTAGAAAAACTAAAATATGTTTCAATTGACAAATATCACATATGTAATAGAAATAGTTTTTGAAAAGCATGTGTTGTTATGAAAGCTTAGTTGATTCAATTCAATTTAGAGACTTCCCTAAATCTATACTAATCTTTCACTCATGTCAAACTTATGCTTCACTCAATTTAGGGTGCCCTCATCTTATTCTCAGTTCTGGTATTCAGAAATGTGTATAAATGAGTGACTAACTTGAGTGCGCATCAAACCACAAATTGCTAGATAAGGGAACAGTTGGTTACTCAAATATTACCAAAAGTATAATGCCATTAGTGGAAACAATGTCACAGCATTTCTTTATTTTGAACTTGAATAACTCACATTGAAAATATGTGGAATATATGTGTATATGTGTATGTTTATGTGTGGTAATTATTTATTTTAAGGTCTGTTGTAAAGAGAATTGTAAGAGCTTTCGAAAGAAATACTACTCAACCCACAATGTCATTTAAATATTTTGGGGTGACCCACCCCCCCTTGCTTGGGGGGTGAAAGTGGCGGAGGCAAAAATAACCTGCAAATAATGTCCCCCTTTAATCTAAAATCGACGGGTCTGAGCGTTTTTCTACAATTTTGACGCAGTTCCTGAAAATGGCTCTGTTTCGTTTTCATTTGGCCACCCTGTATATACATAATAAATTACATTTAAATAATAAATAATGTAAGGTCTAATTAATTACCCGTGTAAAAACTACCCTCATATAAACCATGATATCCCAAGTAATAATAATCATATTTAGTTCATTTTCCCGACTATGTACTTTTCACACAGACTGGACTGAATGGCAAGCAATCGTTTATGACTTATGTAACAGAACTAATTTCTAAAAAATAATTATAATTTATATAGCGTTCACGTACATAATATCCTTTATTGAATACTTGGACTTAATTATTTGTAAAATATACTACTAGGATATTATGAAACCACAAAATTAATAAGTTATGAACATTATAAGCACACGTCAGACACCACAAACCTAGCACTGATTTGTGAGGGCAATTTGAGTACGATTTAAGTGACTTATTGAAGTAGAATTGTTTATCAATTCGTATTGAGTTTAGTATGAGACAAGTGTGAGTGGAACTTTAGTGAAATCTATGAATATGGGTCTAAAAAACAATTAATAATTTGTTGTGTACAAATTTGATTTAAACCAGAGATAAAATTATCTATGATTAGAAGTTCGTGGACAACAGAAGCAAAAAAAAACGGCAATTTCATTTCTCGGTTGCAAAATATGATACTGTTTTGTGCGGCTTTGACCAAATCTAAACATGAAAAGAAATATTGTAAGACATCTTTTTTATATTTCCATTGATTGACCATTTTATTTTCACCTGATATTACTAGTGACTACAAATCATAATTTTCACCCACCGCCCATCATTTACGAGATAATGTTCTGTTATATACAAATATTAATAATGTTAATGAATTTTGCTATACAAAAAATTTGATATACTCGTATAACTGATATCACCTAGTATTTTGCAACAAGATTTTCAATTGTTAATAATTGCTTTTCGTTATGGATTCATGTATAATCGTTATCTAAAAAGAAAGTTTCGTAGGTAAACTAAACAGGACATGATTCGCATTCTCTCTACATCTTATTTTTTATATTTATTTTATATGTATACGTTAGGTATAAGTAATACGTAAGGCTATATTTATGTATTATTGTAGTTTTGTATTGTTGTAGTCTTTCTTTTTTTTAAATCTGACGTATCCTGTGTTGGCATATATGAAATAAAATTTATTATTATTATTATTATTATTATTAGCTAAACTATTTCCGTTTATTTAATTGGGTAATACTATCACAACGAAAACAAAAATAAAATTATGGTCAATGTAGCAGAACAAATATTAATTAAAAGGGGCACCAAAAAATATCACAAATATATAATTATACACAATATCTTTTAAATATGTAAATATAAAAAATGATTATACAGGATGTTACAAATTAGTAGGTCAGATAGGAAGTAGTAAGTAACCTACAACATATTACTTGGGAGAAAATAACGGGGCTTTCATTGTTATTTTTAATTTGAGCAATTACTTTTCGAGATACTGGATGTTAAAGATAGGAATTTCTAAACGGTTTTTATTAATGACTTCATTAGCATATTAAGTTGAAATTTGCACACATTTATAAAGCTATACCGTTACACCTTTGAGAATTTGTTTAAAAAGAATTGCAGCGCAAGCGAAGGAATATTAGTGGCGGTACCCACAGGTCCCCAATTTTTTTCCTACGTACGCCTATGGTTGAGAAGTAGTGTTTTGAGATCAAATTTTTAGTTTCCTAGTATTTTGTAATTTTTTTCTTTAGGCCGAAATTATAGCAATGCGTGTACTTACCTATTGTTACTCATTTTTATTTGTACATTTATATTTTTGTCAATTTATGTTATTTTGCATTAGAAAAGTGATCCTTTCCATGCGCTTGTAAAAAAAGTAATTGATTATTTTAAATTTTTACACTTACTCAATAGTTTCAATATCTTTAAATAATTCCTAAAATTAATTTAATAATATCTGATAATGTTTATTTAACATAGCCCTGGTCCTTACTTGTACCTAAAAAGACACTGCTTTTTTAAGAATTCCAAATTGTAAGCCTAGTCTAATGCAAACTGATGATACCTAAACACAGAGATTTATATAATTTCAGAAGCCAGCAAATTAAAAAAATATTATTTCTAGTTTTTTTATGAGTAAAAATAGAGATGGTTGGATTCATACCACGTACGTTTAATATAGCATTAGCTGTTGTTCTGTATCTGTGTTATCACTGTTATCAGGTATCTAACCTAAAGGTGTACGGTAAAAATATGATTAGACTTGATATGGATCCCTGAGGAACCCCTATACCGATATAAAGGTTAATGTGTACCTGACGACTAACATACTGTTTTCGTACTATCAGAAAAAATGCGACCATACCTATGTAGTTTTGGAAGCACTTTGCTGTAATTAATCGGGCATTCTCCTGCTTCAATATATTGAATAATTTTATAATGGAATGATCGTAAAACAGTACTTGTAGATTTACTAGACTGGAAAACAAGCAGTCCTGTAAAAATGTTACATTTTTCAATAAATTTCAAAAGCTTCATATAACAATATTAAAAAATCCTGGAAATCGCGCTTGGAAAACTCACAAGTCTATGATTTTCCACAAGTTGTGGGTGTCCAAAAATAACCGTAGTTTGCTATACAAACAATAGTCCAAAATTGCTTCGTTACGAAAATACAGGGTGTTGAAGTTTATTCTGAAAAATAGAAAAATACATTTTTTTTAAACCGCTTAAGATAATTAAATGAAATTTGACAAGTGTCAATAGCAATGGAAGACTTAAATTTTGCAATGCAAAAGTTTCTTTTACTGTCACCAGTGGCGCGAGTAGCGGATCGTTAGTGACTATTTTCCAATAAAAAAATGGTACGTCCCTGGTTTTTCTAAAAATTAATGTTATTTTTGAATTCCTCGTTCAATTTGGTAGAAAAAAACTCTCTTGACTTTTTTTTGTACGATGCACCGTTTAATAAATAATAAATTACTTTAAAACTTTTCAAAGTGTTTTCCTTCAAATGGATTATTATTTGTTAGCTGCATACCAGATACACTTGCTGCAACCACCAGATAAACAAATTTACAACGACTAGTTGGCGTCGGTTTTCATGTCAACGTTTGACAAATCTTAAATAGACTTGTCTTCTGTGCAGTAGTATCAAAATGCCGTTTAGATTTTCACCGTGTATTAACAACTTTATTTTCACAATGAATACCAAAAACTAAACTAATTAAAATTATCAACAAAAACAGTCATAAAAATTGTTCAAAATGGGAACCATTATTTTCAATGCACAACTCGCACCTACGTACAATACATCTATTTAAATTAATTAGATGCGGTATTATTGCATTACAACCATTTCTTATACGAGTAATAAGTTCATCTTGTGTGTTCACGGGGGTTGCATAAACTTTCTCTTTTAAAAAACCCCACACAAAGAAGTCTAACACGGTAATATCCGGAGACCGTGGTGGCCATGGAACTGGACCCCCTCTGCCAATCCATCTGTCCGGAAAGTTATTATTTAGCCAATTTCTAACATTTCTGCCAAAATGAGCGGGACAACCGTCGAGCTGAAAAAATGAAGTCTGTCTTAAAATTATCGGTATTTCATCCCACATATTGTGATGTTCCGTTTCTAAAAACTGTAAGAAGTTTTCTGCGTTTAAGCGTCGAGGTAAAAAATAGGGTCCAAACAGATTGTTGTTGTAAATCCCTATCCAAACATTTACGCTGAATTCAACTTGAAAATTTCGTGGTCTAATGGCGTGAGGATTTTCATGTGACCACACATGTTGATTATGGAAATTAACTATACCGCGACGGGTAAAGCAGGATTCGTCAGTCCACAGTATGTTGTTCAAAAAATCCCTGTTTTCTTGAACTGAGCGAAGGACCCACCGACAAAAAGTCAGTCTTTTCTCTTCATCTCCTGGATGTAAGCCTTGAACAGGTTGTAGGTGAAATGGACGCCTGTGATCCCTTCTGAGAGTACGAAGTACATTGGATTTAGATGTGCGGATAATACG